GCTCCAGGGCAGGGGCACTGGAATAGGACAGGGCTGCAGCAGAAGCTCCTGTACCTGGCACGCATGGCTAGAGTGCAGCCTTGCAGCATACATTGATAGAACCAGTAGCCAGCAGGGTTGCTGGCATCTGGATGCCCAGCCTGTGGCACAATCCAGCCCCACTAAGGGTGCACCCACCATGCCTCAAGGGTCTCTATATAGCTTTGGCTGCCCCATGCCAGCACCTGTGGGTGTTGGGCCCGGTCTCTGCCTCGTTTTCCCCACCTGAAACCTGCCCAACCCAGGGCCCCCAGGGATGGGGCAGTGCCCCAGCTGAGACTCCCATGGGCCCAAGTGGCTCTGTCCCGTTCCCCACGGGACCTCCCCCGGCTGGCACAGGCGAGTCCTCGGGCCTACACCTCTTTGAAGGGCCACGGTCCCTGAACATGCCTCCGTGGGCAGCAGCAGCAGCTTCCACGCCCCAGGGCAGGGCTCTGCCCCAGTGCGGGTCAGTCAGAGCTTGGCATTCGGGAATGAAGGGGTTACCGTGGGGTTGCACCGTTGTACCAAGCGCGGGGGGGGGGGGCGCTCTGGACTGAACCATCACTGTCAGGCCCCCTTGAGCCACCCCACGAGCTAGGCCCGCAGCCTCACTCCGTCCAAGATGGCTGGTGACCCCAGCGTGACTCTCCAGCCTCAGGCAAGCAAGGCGGGGCTTGTGCCAGGGGTAAGGATGGCGGCCAAAGGCAGGTGTGGTGAAGGAGGGTGAAGCTATAAAAGATGGCTTCCGCCAGGACTCTAAGATAGAGGGCAGGGAGGAACGCTATGAGCAGGGGCAGCAGGGAGTGTCCAAAACAGGGAGGTTGGGGTAGGACAGCAGGGCAGAAGGGACAGAGGTGAGGAGCTGGGGGATGGTCCCCACCTTCCACAGCTGTGCACATTTTCACATGCTTGTGCATGCCCATGCTTATTCACGTTCATGGATCCTGGTGCATGTCATCTGGGGTTCTCAGCGTTGCCATTGCTGTCGTCCTCGTCTGGTGTTACGGATGTGCTGTCAGTGTTGTTGAAGTATCAGGAACTGGGGTGCTGGTAAAGTCACAGCCAGGAGATCTCAATACTAATCTTGTCTTAAGGAACCACCACAGGCTCAGTTTGGTTGCAAAGATTCGCCCAGGTTTCTTGTCTATAAGCACAACCCTAACATGTTTTGGCCTAACGAGTACATCAGACCAGGAGCTAGGGCATTTGTACCTGTGACAAAGTGGTTGGCACAACACCAGCCAGGCTCCCCCAGGCCACTACAAAATTCCCCTGCTTTCCGATTCTCTTTTTATACGATGATCAAAACAAATTATGTATTGCATTCCATCTGTATCCTTGTGAAATGGGCTTGAGGCTGAAGTTAGTTGCTTATTCCCAGTTCCTTATCCCCGGTTCATTTTTCAAAACTAATTTAGACCCATATACTTATCACAGTGGCAGGGGTCGTGTCAGTTGGCATCCTGGCATAGCCGAACCACACTTTGGACCTGGCTAGTCTCTGGTCAGATGCATCCGGTGGAGTTTCCTAGTGGTGCAGAGGTATTCTGATGGGTGGCCCAAGCAGAATTTCTAGTCATAATCCCAGCCCAAAAGCCAGTTCCTTATTCAAGCCATTATACATAGTATAGTGGGCATGGGGGCTGTTAGTTGGCAGCCTGGCACGGCTAAACCGTGCTTTGGGCCTGGTAGGACTGTGGTGCGGGTTCTTTGGGACAGTCCCCCAGTGGCATTGATAGGAAGTTTGGGGTGGCCCAAGAAGTATTTTACCCCATAATCCCATCCTAATCTGACCTTCATTTAGGGCTCTGTACTTTATGTGGGATATTATTTTACATATTATTTAGTACATATAGATAGCTAATGAAATTCTCTCTCTTTAGGATGTGTAATTCATTAATAACAAGCTTTTATTGGGTCTAGATTAGCTTTGAAAAGTGAACCTGGAATAAGGAACAAGGAACTGGGAATAAATAACCAACTTCAGCCTCATCAAATCGGCTTGTTTCATATCCTGACCTGGGTGTTTCCATTCGAGCCTTATCCTAGTACTGGACTATCCTACTTTGTACTGTCATCTCTCCTTCCCACCTCTTGGCAAGAGTGCTCATCTGGCCCGCATGCTAAATTTTGTTTGTGAGGAGTTCTTGCACAGGTTAGGTTTGCTGGTGAGGCCTACTCTGACAAGTGCTTTAACAAAGCCTTTGCGTGAGCAGCATATATTGATCAATATTCCAGGAAGGTCTACAGTGTATGTTCTTGCATGCCCCTGCACTTATGTATGTTGAGGTACATTCGTGCACACCCATATACACTCACACGTGTGGACACCTTCCCACATGTACCAGCATCCCCATGCACAGCATGCATGTATCGAAATGGGCACCCCTGCGCACTCATGCACAGGCACATACTCTCACTCCTACGCACACTTTCTGTGTCAAAGCATACTATATTCTTGCATACCCATCAACTGTCTCACGTAGCTCTGCACATTTGTGTGCAAACACACACACACACGTTGGTGCATGCTTGTGTATACTCATGCACATCACTGCACACTTCTGCCTGCACACACCTCTGTGGATTGCAGGCTCGTGTATGCACATGCACACTTTTGCACTCACCTGCATGGTTGGTCACACACACACATTCACTTGGTGCACTGTGAAATTAATCATAAAGAACTCTTATGGGCAGGGGAGGGAGGATGGCAAAGCTCCACTTGGCTGAGGGAGGCTGCCAATGAGCCCTGGTGCTAGCGGGACAAAACCCTGAGGATGCTCACAGGAGAGTATTCGGGAATGGCTCCACAGCTGCAGACTGGTGCACAGAGCCCATGCCTGCCAGTCTGAACTCCTGCCTGTGGAGCCTGGACTCCGCTGCTCCAAGAGGAGTCATGCATGAGCACCCATCTGTAGAGGACCCAGGTACCCTCTGTGTTTCTCTGGGGCTAGGAGAGTGCTAGTTCTGCAGAGAGGCTACCCTGTCTTGGCAGGGGCCTTTCTGGTTGGAAGCAAGTGGCTCTGTTTGGCAGGTTTGGACAGGACTCAATGAGTCAGACCTACCCGGCTCCCCACAGTAAGAAAGCCATCAGTATCTTGCATTTTCTTTGGAATCAAAGCCAAGTCGGTGGGATATAACCAGTGCTACCACCAGGACGCTGGTGGTGCCCAGTGCAACAGAGCACCAATCCTTGGGACTCTGGGTCTGGAATCCTGGTGTTTTTGTGGCATGGGTAGCACCTGGGGAATCCTTTTGGTGCTCTCTTCCTCTGTCAACCTCTTGGTCTGGATTCCTCATGCACTCCTAGCAGCTGAGATCAATATTTGGCCCTGAACACACTGCAAACTGAAGTGACTTCAGATTCATTCCTAGAGAGGTAAGATCAGGGTCCAGCCTTGATGCCACTGCAGTCGGGGATGATTCCAGATTCAGTTCTGAAAGCTGAAATCAGAATCTGGCCCCAACCCCACTGTAATGGGGAGCGACTTCAGATTGATTGTGGGGCAGCTAAGATCAGAAACTGGTCCTGACCTCGTTGCAATTGTAGGCAACTCAGGATTGACTCTAGGGAGCTATTGCCAAGACTGGGCTCTGACCCCACTGGGGGTGTCTACATGTGCTATTAATTCTCTGTAAGTTTACGGCACAGTAAAAGACTGTGCAGTAAGCTTTCCTTGGTAGCATGTCTACATGTGCGCCAGTCAGAAGTAAATTTGCTTTCAATGGAAGCG